TGGAAATTCAATTTGCATTATACAAAAGGATCAAAATATGATTTGTAAGGGACAACTTATATGAACTAAATCCATGTGAAATACCTATTAACGTTATATCAGCAAAACGAAAAGATATAAGTCTTAACCCCGCACAACTTTGGCACGCTCGACTGGGTCATATTTCCTTGAGAAGGATGAACGAATTTGTAAGTGAAGGATTGTTCTCCTTGGAGGACGTGAAATCACTTCAAACTTGTGTATCATGCCTTAAAGAAAAAATGACCAAAACTCCCTTCAAAGGGAAGATGGAACGAGCCAAGGGTCTTTGGGATTTGATCCATTCAGACGTGTGTGGTCCACTAAGAGTTAGTGCTAGGGGTGGTTTTAACAACTTCGTTACCTTTACTGACGATTATTATAGGTATGGTTTCGTGTACTTAATGAAGTATAAGTCTGAAACTTTTGCAAAGTTCAAAGATTTTAGACACCAAGTAGAAAATCAACACGGTAGACGTATTAAGAAACTACCATCCGATAGTGGTGGCGAATACTTAAATACTGAGTTTATAGACTATCTTAAAGAGAATGGGATTCTGTCTCAATGGACTCCTCTTGGAACTCCTCAACTTAATGGAGTTTCCGAACGTCGGAATCGAACACTGTTAGACATGGTTCGATCTATGATGGGGTTCACTGAGCTACCGGCATACCTCTGGGGTCATGCACTCCTAACTGCCGTGTATTTGCTGAATAGGGTTAATACCAAAGCAGTTAACTCCACACCTTATGAACTTTGTCACTCCAGGAAACCCACGTTTAAACATATTAGGATATTGGGTTGTCCCGCTTACGTGAAGCGGCTAGTGGGAGATAAGTTGGATAGAAAATCCGACTTAAGCTATTTTGTGGGGTATCCCGAGGATTCCATGGGATACGAATTCTACTATGTTTCCGAGGCAAAGATATTCGTCTCGAGAAATGCCGTGTTCCTTGAGAAGGAATTACTATCGGATAGAAAGGGTAGTGTAGTTGATCTCGAAGAAGTTCGAGAACCACAATCTGAAGTTCAAGCACAACAATCAGATAATGAACCAATTCAACAATCCACTAATATACCACATGAACCGTGGCTGCATAGATCCGAAAGAGTTCGGAGAGCGCCCGATAGGTTATTCCTTGTTGATGAAGTTGACCAAGGATGTGATCCTAGAACTTTCAACGAAGCTGTATCGGATACAGACAAGGGACATTGGCTTAATGCCATGAAATCCGAAATGGACTCTATGTACTCCAACAAGGTATGGACCTTGGTAGATCCACCCAAGGGAATCGTTCCCAAAGGCTGCAAGTGGATCTATAAGAAGAAAATTGGAGTAGATGGAAATGTATCGACTTACGAGGCTAGATTGGTAGCGAAGGGTTATACTCAAAACCAAGGAGTTGACTATGAGGAAACCTTCTCTCCAGTTGCTATGCTTAAGTCCATCAGGATTTTGCTGGCCATCTCTGCGTGGTATGACTACGAGATATGGCAAATGGATGTGAAGACCGCTTTCCTTAATGGGGACATTGAGGAAGAAATTTAAATGGCGCAGCCGGAAGGCTTCATATCTTCTGGAGATGAGCAAAAGGTTTGCAAACTTCAGCGATCCATTAATGGATTGAAACAAGCATCCCGTAGTTGGAACAAAAGGTTCGACACAACTATCAAAGAGTTTGAATTTGTGAAAAACCCGGAGGAACCTTGTGTCTACAAGAAGGTTAGTGGGAGTGCAGTGACTTTCCTTGTACTTTATGTCGATGACATACTACTCATTGGGAATGATGTAGGGATGTTACAGTCAACTAAAGTATGGTTATCCACACGTTTCTCGATGAATGATTTGGGAGAAGCATCCTACGTATTGGGAATACGGATCTATAGAGATAGATCGAGGAGATTACTTGGCTTGTCCCAATCCATGTACATAGACCCCATTCTTAAACGGTTTAGCATTGAAGAATCCAAGAAGGGATTCTTGCCAATGTCCCATGGGGTTCGTCTCTCGAAATCCATGCGTCCTCAAACGCAAAAGGAAATCGAGGAGATGAAAAGGACACCTTATGCATCCGCTATAGGAAGAATAATGTATGGCATGCTATGTACACGACCTGATATTGCGTATGCTGTGAGCGTCACAAGCAAATATCAGTCCGACCCCGGCCCAGCCCATTGGAAGGCTGTGAAGGACATTCTCAAGTACTTGCGAAGAACTCGAGATTTGTTTTTGGTCTATGGGGATACCGAGTTGAAATTAGAAGGCTTCACGGATTCTAGTTTTCAATCGGACGTGGATGACTCAAAGTCAAACTCGTGGTATATATTCAAAGTCAACGGGGGTGCCGTGTGTTGGAAGAGTTCCAAACAAGGCACGACGGCTGATTCCACCACCGAGGCTGAATATATTGCAGCATCAGATGCTTCAAACGAAGGGTCATGGATTAGGAAATTCATCCAAGAGTTGGGTGTATTTCCGAACGCTAGCGATCCAGTACAGTTGTACTTCGATAACAACGGAGCCGTAGTGCAAGCTAAGGAACCAAGAGCTCATCAGAAGTCGAAGCGCGTGTTGAGAAAATACCATGTGATCCGAGAGATCATAGAGAGAGGTGAAGTCAAAATAGACAGAGTCACCTCGGAGGACAATATTGCAGATACCTTCACCAAGATATTGTCAGGATCAGTCCACGAGAAACGTCGAGAGTCGATGGGACTTAGATTTATGAGTAGTTGGCTTTAGGTCAAGTGGGAGATTGTTAGACTAGGTGACCAACAAGCCAACTTGTGGTTGTGGTCCTTCTCTTTTTCCTTGTAATAAAACAATCATTTTTCGCTCGTAATAATAAAATATTACATTTGGCATTCTATATCTCTTATTCCATGCAAGCAGCATAGATATAGTCCTAACGAGTTACTCTATTACTATGAGTTGATCTAGTAGAATCGTGAGATAACTCAGCAATGTAATGTAACTGTTAAACCTTGTTCGTAGTCGGTGGGTTACGCCAATAATGAGGATACCGGCCTTTCCCTTTTGAGACTAGCACTTAGTGTATGTGTACTGCGTCTCATCAGTCCTCGGTGTTGTGACATCAGCATACTTGAGTGGGTTCTCATACTGGATGAGTTCACTGAACTCCCTCGGCCTAGAAATTATAAGTGGTTCTCTTTCATCGAGTAATAGGTTTCTAAGAAATAGTTGTACACCATTAGTCCTTAAGACCCAGACATCACCGTGACTTCACTAGAGGACCGATTGTATCGTGACCTGTCCCTGAGTCCCACAGCGGACCACTCCAAGGGCCAACGTTCGTGCAATCCGAAATCTAGTGTGAAGTCTGTACATTGTAGTAGGGGATTCGAGCGCTTGAGTAGTCATGGATGTCCTGTGTGTTCTGACGGTTTATAATCCAAGGAATCTCTGGCCAGAGTTGATAGTGGGTGATTAGGGAAATGTGTTTGCCTAAGTCGCACACGAACGGATTTATAATACCTAGAACGTTCGCACGGTTATTGAACTTTATAAGAGGTCTCGGTGAACCAATGCCTCTAGTCCAATCGGGACATGTGCTGCGAAAGGATCGTACTGTACGCTAACTATATCATAAGGTTCTTGCAGGCACTTCACTTGTATCTAGGGAATCATGATGCGTAGTTCCTAGACGCCAATCTTGATTCGTTGGGCACCGATTTGATCGGGGATTAGGTAAAATGAGTTTTACTCTAATCGGGACTCTTGGGAGGAGTTTGTATAAGAACAATGTGTTCTTCGAATCACAAAGAGTTGTGAGCCTATGGCTACCATACACTTGAACCATTGAGGGTCATACTTCTCGTGTAATATAGTTCCTTGATAACAACAAGCATAGATTAATATGTTAATCTTTGAACAATTGGATGTCGATATGATTGAATCCAAGATTTGTAATTGTGAATTGCGAATCCGAATAAACGTGGAGAAAGAGAGAAATGCGGAATTTAGTGAACTTTCTAAATTGGGAAGTTTCCCGATTTAGCAAGTCCGCTGAAGTGGAAGTTTCCAATTCTGGAAATTGGAAATTTCGAAGAGGCACTCGTATCGACGAGGACTTTGAGCTCGTCACAAATATAATTTTGTTATAATTTTGTGAACGATCGTTTATTAGAAACGAGGCCGACGAGGGAATGGGCTTAATGCATCAGTGGGTCGAGCCCAATGACTTAAACCCACTAAGGTTGAAAACCCTAAGTATAAATAGACCTCAAACAAAAGTTTGAGATCAGATTTTTTGCACCAAAACCCTAGCCGCCCAAGCCCTAGCCGTTCATCCCTCTCGGTCGTTGCTGCCCCGCCGCGCCGACGCCGATCGCCGCCGGAAACCGCCGGTTTTCTCCTCTCTACTCCTTCATTTATTCTTGTTGTTTATCTAACTCGTTTACATCTAGTGTTGTAGTTCGAGTGGGTAAAAAATACGAGGTGAAACCTAATTGGAGAGGAGCTGCTGCCCCGACGGAATCCACGCACCGCCGCACGCGCCGCTGCACCGTCCACGCGCCGCCGCCGCTGCTGCCACGCACCGCCGTCCGCCACTTGCTGGATCAGTTTGCTCCAGCCGTGAGTTGCAGCCTTGAGGATTGGTAATTTGCAGCTTGTACGTGTTTGGTTCTAGTTTTCGATTCGTCAAAATCTCACGCTACAAGAGGTAATTAAATCGAAACTTTCGTAAATTAACTCGAGCATGTTTGTATGAATTTTAATTCATGAGCATGAGAAATATGTGATTACGTGTTTCGCATTATATGATGAACAAGCATGTTTTATCATTTTTGGTTTTACATGTTTTTAATAAAATCGATAATTACCATATGTATGGCGGATGCGTTAAGGTACGTTGACTATGTGATTAGTTTATGCATGTAATCGAAACTAGTTCGATCAAAAAAATTTAAATTCCGCTGCGTATACATGCACGATCCCCAACAGTGGTATCATGAATGGATGGATCAAATGGAAAACTCACGGCAAGAGTTTCCCCAAACCACTCCTAACGTGAGAAGTAGAGGACAAGCTCCACCTAGAGAGGCTAGGGCAGAAGAGGATGAGTATTACAGTGATGAATTCGATGACCAACATTCCGTTGTTGTAAATCGAAGGTTTAGAGCAAGGGTTCGCGATGCTCGAAAGCGTGAGGATAACAATTTGGGAAACATAAAGGTGAATATACCATCGTTTCACGGCAGAAACGATCATGAAGCTTACATTGAGTGGGAGCGAAAGATGGATCTGTTGTTTGATTGTCACAATTACTCGGAACACAAGAAGGTGAAGTTGGCAGCGATTGAATTCTCCGATTATGTCATCATTTGGTGGGATCAATTGGTGCTGAATAGGAGGAGAAATAGGGAGAATCCAGTGGCAACTTGGGACGAGATGAAAACCCTAATGAGAAAGCGGTTCGTGCCAAGCTACTACTTCCGAGAGTTGTATCAAAAGCTACAGAATTTGAAGCAAGGAAATTGGAGTGTTGAAGAGTACTTTAAGGAGATGGAAATTTCAATGATCCGAGTAAATATTGAGGAGGATCGGGAGGCTACTATGGCAAGGTTCTTGGCAGGGCTGAATAGAGAGATTGCAAACGTAGTGGAGTTGCAACATTATGTTGAGATGGAGGACATGGTACACATGGCCATCAAGATTGAGAATCAGCTCAAGCGGAGGGGTAACAATCCACGATCAGCCTCTAGTTCGAATTCATATTGGAGGCATAATGTTGTTAGCATAGATGAGAGACCGGCTATGACTAAACCCAAATCCGAGCCAAAGCAAAACACTACCAACCATGCAGTCCAAGGTAAAATCATTTCTAATACAACTTGGAATCGTGATATAGAGTGTTTTAAATGCCATGGCTAGGGTCACAAAGCAAACCAATGTCCAAACAAGAGAGTTATGCTGTTGCGTGATGATGGTGGGTTTGAGACCGAAGAAGAGGAGGATTCCACACCACCACAAGAGGATGATGGAGAACAAGAATATTATGCACATGGTGAACTATTGGTTGCAATGAGATCTCCAAACGTGCAAGGAAAGGGAGATGAAGAAGCACAGCGAGAAAACATCTTCTACACTAGATGTCATGTTCGAGACAATGTGTGCAGTATGATCATTGATGGAGGGAGTTGCACCAATCTTGCTAGCCCTACGATGGTGGAGAAGTTAGGGCTGCCTACAACCAAACATCCACAACCATATAAGCTGCAATGGCTTAATGATAGTGGAGAATTGAGGGTAAACAAGCAAGTGTTAGTATCATTTCGCATTGGAAAGTATGAAGATGAGGTACTATGTGATGTTGTTCCGATGCAAGCTGGACACTTGTTACTTGGTCGACCGTGGCAATCTGATAGACGGGCCAAGCATGATGGTTTCACCAACAAGTACTCATTTGCGTTCAACTATAGAACAATCACTCTAGTTCCTTTAACGCCACAGCAAGTCCATGAGGATCAAGTGAGGTTACAAAAAGAGAGTGATCAAACGAAAATGAGTGACAGTACAAAAGAAAGAGAGAGTGAGGCTTAGAAAAACAAGAAAGAAAATAAAAAAGTGAGTTCGGCCAATGAGAGAAAAGAAGAGGGAAAAACAAGTTTATATGCGAGGGCGAGTTATGTGAAGAGAGCTATGCGTTCGAATCAGCCGATGATTGTACTTATGTACAAGGAGGCCTTTTTGAACACTAACAACGTTAACTCTTCTTTGCCTAGTTCTGTTGTTTCTCTTTTGCGGACTTTGATGATGTATTCCCAGAGGAGGTTCCACCGGGGTTGCCACTAATTGGAGTCATTGAACATCAAATTGATTTTGTGCCAGGAGCTTGTATTCCAAACCGACCAGCCTACCGAAGCAATCATGAGGAGACTAAAGAGATACAAAGGAAGGTCAAGGAGTTGATGGAAAGAGGGCACGTGAGGGAGAGCATGAGTCCGTGTGCTGTTCCGGTGCTTTTGGTGCCTAAGGCGGATTGAAAGTGGAGAATGTGTGTCGATTGTCGAGCAATCAACAATATAACGGTAAGGTATCGTCATCCTATTCCACGCTTAGATGATATGTTAGAGGAATTCCATGGTGCTTGTGTGTTTTCAAAAATTGATTTGAAAAGTGGGTATCATCAAATAAGAATGAGAGAGGCTGATGAATGGAAAACTGCTTTCAAAACAAAGTATGGTTTATATGAGTAGTTAGTTATGCCGTTTGGGTTAACTAATGCCCCTAGTACTTTCATCCGATTAATGAACCATGTTTTGCGACCTTTCATATGTAAATTTGTTGTAGTTTACTTTGATTACATTCTTATCTATAGCAAAAATCTGGATGATCATGTTGTGCATTTGAAATCCGTTTTACATGCGTTTAGGGAAGAGAAGTTGTATGCTAATTTGCAGAAATGTACATTTTGCACGGATAAGCTTGTCTTTCTTGGTTTTGTTGTGAGTGCACAAGGTATTCAGGTTGATGAAGAAAAGGTTGGAGCTATCCAAGAATGGCCAAGTCCGACGAGTGTAGCGAATGTTCGAAATTTTCATGGCCTTGCTGGTTTCTATAGGAGGTTCGTGAAGGATTTTAGCACTATTGCAGCACCAATGGCCGAGGTAATAAGGAAGAATGTGGTGTTCAAGTTGGGGGACGAGCAAGAGAAAACATTTCAATTAATTAAGGAGCAGTTAACTAAAGCTCCTTTACTTGCTCTACCAAATTTTGCGAAAACATTCGAGATCGAGTGCAATGCTTCCGGAGTAGGCATAGGCGCTGTTTCGATGCAAGAGGGACGACCGATTGCATATTTTAGTGAGAAGTTGAGTGGGGCAGCCATAAACTACCCGACTTATGATAAGGAGCTGTATGCCTTGGTTCGAGCTTTAGAGACATGGCATCATTATCTTTGGCCTAAGGAGTTTGTGATTTACACGGATCATGTGACACCCCTCTCTCGATTACCCTTATTATATGTAATCTCGGCGGATGACTTTTGAAAACATGATTTTTTTTTGTGGATATAAATTTACGTGAAAGTTTTTCTTTTTAAATTAGAGGGAGAGAGGGCACAACTTGCTCAACCCTAATCGATCAATTAACACCAATGCATGCTAAATGCAAGACTAGAAGTAACTAGGCATGATGGACTTAATGCAAATGCGGACAGATTCAATGCAGAAGCTTTAAAAATTAATTTCTCTTAAACTACTCATGCAAATGACCCCAAAATAATACCATACCATCAAATACGGGTCTAGATCACTCCTTTAAAACAGTTACGAAATATGCATGGCCATTTAGGAGAAATAAATAAAATGGCACGTTCACTCGTTTTAAAATCCAGAACAGGGGAGGGAGTTTAGAAAATTCACAATAAATTCCTCACTGACCCAAAAACTACCAAATGTTACCCCAAGGCAGAAAAATACGTTTAAAACATATTACAAGTGGAAACAAGGCATTTGGGTGAGTAAAACTTCAGTTAGACTAGAAAACACCCGAATGGCCCTGTTTCAATGAAGTAGTGCAAAATAAATCATAACTAAATGAATACTTACCCAAATCATGCACAAGACCTATAAAAATGATGAGCACAAAGTGATGCAGAGATTCCTAAAATTTCATAATTTTCTAAGCATACCACCTATATGAAAATAATTTTAGAACATGGAGACAAAACACGAAGAAATTACTAGTCGAAAGCATGCATGCATATAAATAGTGAAAATTTGCTTTCGCTTACAAAAGGCAACGGATTACCGATTAATTATCCAAAATAGGGTAATCCTAGTTACTATTACACACGTCGTCTTTTAATAATTTCCACCGATCGGAGGAAGCGAACGGTAGAAAATACCTAAAACTGTATCAAAAGTTTTTACAAGCATATTATACAAATAAAACCACATAACTTAATTGAGAGCCAACACTATCAACAACCCCTCCATAAGATCTCCTTCCGATTCTCGAGCTCGATTCCCAACTTTACTCCTCGGGCCCTAAATTGGGTATACCTACAAACATACAATACCTATATGAGCCTTTGAGGACTCAATGAGAATCTTGAAGTAATATCGAATACACATAGCACATAGAGCATACATATATCTATACATATATATACATACATATATCTTATACATGAACATACAACACGAAGTAATACAATCATATACTTCCCTTTTTCGTCGGCGTTCTTCATTCACATAATTGCCACACGCATAGAGTGAGATAATTCCCACCTTTATAACCCTATGATCCCAAGACCATAGAGTGAGAATATCCCACCTTTATAACCCTATGCCATGACATGTATTGAAGATTATAGAAGGAATTTCCCACCTTTATAACCCTACGATCCCAAGACCATAGAGTGAGATTTTCCCCCTATATCATCAACACCATAATGCAACATCCATGACATGAAAAATTGTCGGGAATCCCTCCGAAGAGCCAATCTAAGTTACCGGTAAATAACCCCATATATTTCGAACCATGTCTAACTACGTGGGATCAAACCACCCCTAGGCCCTACGGTACCAGGCTCGCCGTACCCGAGAAATTTACCGTAACCTCGAAAGATTTTCCAACATAGTTTTATCTTTTTTTTTTAATTCATGACACTTAATGCACCCACTCATGCACCCTTCTACTTATCCTTCTCTCATCCTCGCACCCAATGATTCACATAAGCAAGCAAGAGCACATAGGAGCACATAGAAAATACACATAAAGATATAGAAATAACCGAAATCTTAACATGCAAAAGCAATCTAACATCAAAGTTCACTAGATCTAGCATTTTTACAAGAATAAAATTCAAGACTTCCATCTTTACATTTATTCAAGCAAATACACTAGATCTTCACATGCAAGAGTATTTTAAACCATATTATCATAAATTCTTAACACTAGATCTTAACATGCAAGACTTTAGATCTTAACATGCAAGACTTTAGATCAACCATCAATCACTAGATCTTAACATGCAAGACCTTAGATCAACCATCAATCACTAGATCTTAACATGCAAGACCTTAGATCAACAATCAATCACCAATCTTAACATGCAAGGCCTTAAAACAACAATCAACACAAGATCAACACATACAAAAATTCGAAAGTTTCATGGCTAGGCCAAAAATTCATTTTCTTTTCAAAAATCAACAATCAAACACTAGATCAACACATGCAAGGCACTAATTAAGCCAAATAAGCCTTTTAAAACATTTTCCCCAATTTTCGAAAAATCATAGAACTTCAAGAACAAAGTCATCTTTTCAAAACACTAACACGCAATCATCATCTAAAACATATAATCACATAATAAATAATAAAAAACACATAGAAACACATAAAAACACATAAAAACCGAAAATACTAGTGGTGTTGTAGGTTTGAGCAAGAATTCAAGAATTCTCACCTATACTCTTTAGGGGAAGGATTTGTTAGCTCTTTTCTCTCTAATACAAGAAGAGATTAAGAGTTAAATTAGGCATTAAGAAAATAAAAGGAAGAACAAAAGAAAGAGGAGGAGGAAGAGCTTTGCTCTTTCGGGAAAGAAGAAGAAAGAAGAGGGAGGAGAAGCTTACTCCTAAGCTTGGCCGAAAATTCTCCTCTTGTTGAAATAGAAGGAGACCTTAAACTTATAGATAGTGAGATTGGAAGTGGAGAGTGTATTTTGATCTTGGGCATTGGAGGTATTTATAGAATTTTTGGAGAGTTCAAAGCCAATGGAGAAGAAAGGGAAATACATCTTTTGTGGGGGTGATTTTGCAATTCCCAAAAATATGAGGTGGTGGTGGTTCTAGGGTGGTTCAAGCTTGAGAAGGTGGTGGTTATGGTGGTGGTGGTGGCTGCCGAAATGAAGGGGAAGGGAGGAGAAGAAGAAGACCTTTGGTCTTACTTAAAGGAGTGAAAAGCATGCCTAGGCTATAGAGTAGGGGCTAGCTTTTAGGTATTTCTTTCTATGCTCAAAGTACAACCACACCAATGCATGTCTAATACTAATTAATATGCAATTTAAAAATCATGTGTGTGTGTGTGTGTCATGTCCGAAAATTCAAGAAAATGTGGGGAGAATTTTCTTATTTTCGACATTAATTAAAAATCTTAAAATGCATGATAAAAATTTATTTTTTCTAAAATTTTGTGCATGCATAATATGATGAAATGCTCATTTAAAATCACATGCAAGAATAAAAATCCTAATTCATGAAAATAATCTATTTCGAAATAATATCTCGAAATATTTCTTAAGCACATAATTCACATAATCACATAATTCACATAATCACATATTTCACATAGTCACATAATGCACACAATAATTAACATAATCACATAATGCACACAATAATTCACATAATCACATATTTCACATAATTCACATAATCACATAATTCATATATTTCACATAATTACCTATTCACCCAAATACTAACCATGCAAGAATTAGTATAAATTCTAATTTCGCAATTATGCACATAAAGGTGGTAAAATAAAATAATATTATTTTACCGAAAATGCGGGGTGTTACAATCTTCCCCCCTTAAAAAAATTTTGTCCCCAAAATTTGTACCTTTTCGATTAGTTCCGGATAACGACTCACAATCTCATCCTCAAGTTCCCACGTTGACTCATCCGGAGAATGGTTTTTCCAAAGGATTTTGGCTAGGCGAATTTCTTTGTTTCGGAGTTTCCTAACTTTTCGGTCTAATATTTGGGAGGGTTCTTCGGTAAAGGATAGGTTCGGGGATAAATCAAGGGGTTCGGTCTCAAGGATGTGGTTAGGGTTGGGAATATATTTTCGGAGCATGGAGACGTGAAAGACATTGTGGATCTTCGATAGTTGAGGCGGTAGGGCGAGGCGATAGGCTTTGGTGTTCCGTTTTGATTTGTTGACAAATTAGGCATTCAGATACGTATTTGGCTATATCCTTCTTCATTCCTGGCCACCAGTACAACTTCTTCAAGTCTCGATACAATTTGG